CCCCAAAACCCCAAAACCCCAAAACCCCAAAACCCCTTAATTTTTAAACTAATTTGAAATGAAAGATGATAGGCACGAGCATGAGCAAGAGGTGCTCTATCCTGAGGAAGAGAAGGAGAATAGAAGAAATCGATCAATAATACAATGGGTGCAGCATTTTAAACAGACTTATGGCGTTCCTTATATGGTTTTACTGTCAGCTGTATTCTTTAATATCGGGTTTAGTGTTCTAAGTGATCTAACGATCAAAGATCTATTTAAGCATTACTTAAATCTAGAACCATCAGAAGCTCAATTCTTTAGCTCTGTGATTGCCTTTCCATGGGGATTCAAGGTTTTGTTCGGATTCTTCATTGATAATGTCAAAATATTTGGATCAGTGCGGACAATCCATCTCAAAATTTCTGGCATCATGATGGCTGTTTCTCTGTTATTATTAAGGCTTCCTATATTTCAACATAAATACTTGACATGAGCATTGCTGTTCATCTTTAATATCTTTGGTGCGATTACAGATGTTGCATGTTCAGCAATAATGGTTGCTCTGTCGAGAAGAGATCCCCAAAATGGACCAGCGGATCTTCAGACACTACATGTTATTTTTGTATGTATTGGAGGAATTTGTGGGTCTCTTACAGCATCTGTAGCTAATGAAATCCTCAGTCCATATGATGTTCTCTCCCTTTATTGACTTATTCCTCTTATTTTATCTGCAGTTTCATTCTGTGTAGAGGATTTTCCGGTAAATAACTCACTAAAACCATTAGAAAATTTTTGAGCAAGTTTGAAGCATATGTCGAACAAGATAGTATTTGGGACTCTCGTATTTATGTTCCTCTCAAGAGCTCTAGTTCCCTCATATGGAGACATAATGTATTATTTTTTGATTAATGTGCTAGAATTTAGCAAATCAGTTATAGCTCTTCTCTCAATGATAGCTTTCTCAACTGCAATATTTGGGTCTTTCATATATAATCTATGATTAAAGAATATTGACTTCAGATTGATGATGCTGATTGCTCACATAATTCTTGGCATGGCCATCATGACCACTTATTTATTGGTTTCAAGAATCTCGAAAGAAGTTCTTGGAATTAATGACATTTTATTCTCATTCTTTACTGATATGGCTGTAGATGTTCTATATGTAGCATTCGTAGCAATGCCTATCTTGGTGGTGCAAACAAAGATTATTCCAAGAAATGTAGAAGCCACTATTTATAGTATTTTCGGATCTCTACGTAACCTAGCAAATGACACTGTATCACCTTTTGTAGGAGGAATTATTGCGAAGAGTTGTGGTGTGTCAAGAGACAACTTCACAGAGATCAGCTATATTGTCATAATTCAATTTCTTCTGAACCTAGTCCCGATTTGCCTTATCTGGATGTTACCTTCTTCAAAAACCATAGAGAAATACAGCTTAGAAATCCAAAGGCAAAATGCTGCCCAGGAGCGAAGTGAAATAGAATCGGGATCGATGATAAAAAAGAACGAATATACCCCTTTCACAGATGAGGAATCTGCAGTGAAAAACAAACAGAATGCTGATTCTCCTACGAGTAGGCCAAAGAAAAGCATGAAAATTAATAAGTAGTTTCAATATTGCTGCTTATAAAAGGGGTTTTGGGGTTTTGGGGTTTTGGGG